GGGTCTTAGAGAACTTTGTCAGAAGATAGTTTAAAGCTGGCTGTGGGACAGATGTTAATTTTACCTTTCTGAAACAAAGTATTAGCCTGCATCGAGCAAGGAGAAGCTGAAATGACTAAAACTAGGCTAAGAACTGTCTAACACATTAATAAAACCTGCAGAGGAATCAGTTGATCAAGTCTGGGTTTATTAACGTTATGTCCCCAAAAATGAGGTCAAATGAATATACTCTACCTCATTATTACAAGATATTAAGGAACACTTAATGTAACTCTGGATGAAAATGAATGTTGTGACGTTGTATTAACTCATCTATTTGATCCCATGATGAATGTATGCCATCAAAGCTAAAAGCAGTCCAAAGAAATAAAGTCTGTGACTAGTTTTGTTTTTTTATAGGTTTTTTTGTTTTTTGCTTATGCAAAAATACATATGCTTAATATACATGTACGTTTTTACAAAATAAAAATAAAAAACTGTTACAGACAAACCTCAACACTACCAAAGTCTGTGTAGATTAAATGAGAAAACATTACCATGCTTATATGTGGGGGAAATGTAACTATAATTATCACAACATATTTCAATGTGTCTCACAGTATCACAGTTATGAGACAGGCGAGTCTGTTATGCTGAATATAAAGAAATAGTTAGAAATAGTTATTAAACAGTCAGATATAATCCCAAAGAGTTGCAGACATCAAAATATTATCATAGCCATGATTCTTTGTAGGCCATCTCAGTAAAAGAATATGACATGTCAAAAACACCCAAACATTTTAAATGATCTGTCAAACTACAACTTATGCATTGTTTCCTGCAGCAAAAACTAACAAACAAAACAAAACAAAAACTTTGCTAAAAAAGGAGTTTGGAAATAAAAGGAAGGAAATAAGTTATTTAATGAATGTGTGTATAACGGTGAGAAACGTAAATAACATTTTACAATCGTACGTTCTTAGTGCATTCGACTATAAAAGCGAAAGTGAAAGCACTTTAGTATCGACTCGAATCAGACTGAGATTTTTGTCCATTTTAACTGTCTGAAAATGTAAAACTATCTTTTCACATGTTTCTTTAGTTTGCGGATAGTTTATTTATTTCCGCACGACTACATACCCTAACCAGGTTAAAGCTGTTTTCACCTGAGCAGTGTCAGTGTGTCTTTCCTGTAATTTTATAGAAGAAGTAAAATAAATCGATTAATTAAAGAAAAAAAACGCAACCTGCTCATTTCCACGCTCTGTTTGAAGCTGCAGTTCGGGCGCGTGTATCCAAAAAAAACAACACACTGCTCCAGAAGTGTCTCGATGCTTGGTTCGGCTGGATAGAGTCACGTGATCAATGATGCCAGAAGGCATAACGGGACACAAACCTACAAAACAAAACAGGAAACTCACAGACTGTTCTACAACACAAACTCGGGAACACAAACAGAGCAGAGGGAAGACACAGGTAGGGATCACAAGACACGAGAACCCAACCTAAAGAATTAATACAAAATCAGAATGAACAAGAAAATAATAACAATATACTCAAAGCGCTGGGTCACAGACACAGGATCATGACAAAAGCATTGAGACCACCGTGTTCATAATCATTCATCATTACACTGTCTCTGATGTAATGTGTCCTGTTTTTCCAGAGGAAGTTGAAGAGCATACGGTAGTGATGGGCAGATGAAGCTTTCTGAAGCTTGTATAGAAAAACGGTTCATTACTCGAAGCTTTTCAACACAGTCCTCTCTGGTGACATCTGGTGGCCACAAATATGAAGAGCAGCTTGAATCCACAAAATAAAAACAACTGCTCCATTATGACTGCCCACAGAGTGGAATCCTGTCTGATATTGGGCCGCCGTTGTGTTGCTTTGAACGTGTATTTTTGGTGGTTAAAAAAATGTGTTTTATTTGTTTAATAAATAATCTTGACCAGTAAACTCTCCTTGTTCAAACATGCACCATGGTGTGGTCTTTCTTTGCTTGTGACTTCTTGATGTTAGTAAATACAATAATTGAAAAATACCACGTTACATATAATA